ACTAGTGTGATCCTCGAGCTATGGCTATGAGCTTGTTCTCAGATTTTATTTGACATTGACACTGGCGCAAAAAGTGTTTTGTAAGTGGAAATTATATACCTATATACAGAAGTTAATAAAATTATACAGCACAGTTAACGGCACGTTATAGCCACAGCCACAGCTGGCAGCCACATCTTTTGCCGCAATCTGACAACTGGGTATAGAACTATAGACCCACAGCGTTGCGTGCTTATTTATTTGGGATCGCCTCCTATAATCATATTTTAAAGTCAGTAAAAAAGTGTCCTGTCGAAAGACCGGGTATTCATGAAGAAAAAAATGTTTTTGTAAACGTATACATTAATATCAAATACTAGTAAATACATACACACGCATTGAAATAGCCATCAAAACCTTGAAAATCAAACTATCAGTAGGTTACAGGGGCTCTATTAGCATAAGCCTTGTTTCAAATGGTACAAAACGCGCTTTTATATTTATTTATGCAAGGAAATTATACATCGTATGGACGAGGGCTATTTTTTGCACAAACATAGGATATAGTATAGTCGTTACTCACGCTACATGAATCCACAAATTTTGAATACATGTACTCTACTTCCTTATTTTTATACGAGTATCACATTTAAACTCCGGTCGCTGCGCGCCGGCGAGTTTACAACTCTTAATGATTCATGTATCTAGTAACTGTCCTACCTACTACTCTGATTGTACTACTACGTACTACTTGTAAACGTGAAGCACGAAGACTATAAAGCGTTTTACGATGTTCTCTGAATATCCAATATGAAGTACTTGAAAATATTAAATCCTATTGCGCAATAAATGGTTGTGTAATAAAAGCAATATTAGAAAACATCTATTTAGCACATAAAGTGACTAACAAATTATGTGTTATTAGGCTGCGAGGAAGACCTCTAAAATATACAAAAATACAAGTGACGTTGTAGAGGCAACATACAATACATATTGAAAAATTCAAGAATAGGCTAATAACGTCCTAATCATACACATACACACATCTACAGGAATAACTAGTTTTTGAGTTAGGGTTTATCTTTACCTTTGTAACGTTAACCAATTTGTAAAATAATATTAAGTACAATTTGTTAAAGCTTTTTATATAATTAAATATATGTTATTGCCTATGCCGGGTCCACAATGACATATATATTTTCTATTACTAACTCGGAATTGGAATATTGTTAAAAAATCAAATTATTAAATAGTTAAAATATTCGTGGCCTGATACGATAGTAAGTTTTAATTAGGGTCAATCAGAACAATATTAAGTCTATTAATATAAACATTTACTTTGACCGAACTTTAATTATTGAAGTATAATCGAATGAAAAAGTTAAAATACAGTAATAAACATCCAGCTCACCTTACTGAAGTAAAGGTTTGTTGATATTACTGAAAGCAAAGTCGCTCCTATGAGTAAAACGGTGGGCCTCACCTATTACAAACATGGCCGTGGAAAGATAAGAAAAAAATTGCTTTCATTGATAAATGCTGCTTGCGTAAACGTTGTTTTTCAATGGCGTAGTTGATAAGCGCCAGTGGCACCCACTTGCAGATAAACAACATGTCTCAACTCGGCACAGAGGACTACCAAGTCAACAGAAATAGATATCAATTTGTACATATTTCGCAGACTTACCATAACTACTCGTACTATTAGTACAACACCAAACTGCCACTGACATTCTGAAATTGATCAAAATTAGACTTACAAAAACTATGACTAACATGGATGTTGTTCTCCAATAAAAACAAAGAATGCGCGCGAAGTTCTTGAAATTAATTTTAAGCCCTCATTTAAAGCACATTCTTCCATTCTCTGGTCCATTCAAATCGTTAAAGTTTACCTCAAGGAACTTCGGCGTTTTCCTACTTAAAAAAATCCCAAGCATACAAACATTTTTATACATTCACAATTAATCACATGACTAATATAATTATTTCTTTTTATTAGAGCCTTTATTTTTTATTTATTTATTTAACTTAATGCCCAGGGCATTCTCTGCCAGTCTGCCAGTAGCTGCAGCATTCATGTATTTTACACCGAATACCTACTACAGATTGCTCTATTGTGATTGTTTATACAAAGTTTTGGAAATGGTCATGGATATGCAAAGTCCAAATAAAATACGTTGGGCATGTTGTAATTTTTTTTTCTGTGACTGTACTACCAAAATCTTAAAATGATTAAAAATTATCAGATATTTCGAAAATACCGTATTCGTAGTGTAGTGGATTTTAACCATTTCTTCCCTTGTTTAGTAGTACTAAAACAGTAAGGTTTAATTTCATTTCTAATATCGCAGATTAGAAGAATAAAAAATGAATGAAGGCAGTTATTATATTTATACAATTTTAGGCCTTTTTTTAATTACATGTAAAAAATTATTACGCGTTAATAGGCATAACGAGAATTAATTTTCCTAAAATACTAAATTAAATTCTCGCGCCTTTATTGTGTTCAACTGAATATAATTAATAAGTAAATATAATAAATATAATTTTTTTAAATAAATTATTTCTTTATTAATATTTTATATAATTTTTATTACACAGTAAAATCAGAGACAAAGAACTTTTTAATAATTAAACATTTTTTTGGGAAGATTTTAGGTTATGAGGTTATTAACTAAGCATTGCTATACTTTGCCTTTTTGTTTATTCCCGTTAACCCCTCCAGCTAAGCTAACTTGCTTATGTCACGTCGGTAGTGAACTATTCATTAATTTTTTTGTAGCCATCCGGACTCGGTCGACTGACAGTATTTTAATTGTATTTCGTTAATTATTAAATGTAAAGAAATGAAATTTAACATGTGAATAGTTGCATTAATGCACTAATTATTGGAATAGGTTGTATAACGCATTTCCTTTAGAATCTCATGCAATAAGACTGCATATGAAACAGTGGTCCAGCCATAGTAAATTATCCCATAGCTCATTAATCGCTAAGAGTTTTTTTTTACGTGTGGAATCGGACCGACTAAAACCACTCGGTGTGCCACTCTGCGCCTGTAGATTGCTAAGAGTACATCAATGATACTTGGTAAGACCTTGTAGATGCTTACAAGTTATGTACTCGTATAAACGTTATAAACTAGACCCTAATGCATAAGCACTAAGTACTGAGACCTAATAATCTTTTTTACGTTTATATTTATATCTTCTGAATGGTATGTTTTTTTTAAATCCGTTTTTAAAAACAGTATAGGCAATTCAAAACAACGTGTGAAAAAATCTACACCTCTCTAGAAAAGCTTTTTATATGAAATCTAGCAAATGGCCAAACGTTATCGCAGCGGAAACTTGAATGTCTTCGCAGTTTATTGACGCACAAAATACAATTAGGCATACACAATTACCTCACGTCATTCACTAATTTTTGATACCATTTTTTTTCTTCTAAGTCATCGGTTTATCGTGCCGCAGGGCACCCTACACTAAGTCTGCCTAATCGCGGTGTCCACTCTGGCACATTACAGCTCCAGCGACAATTAGTCCGTCTGGAGACATGGACTGCCCACTTCCACTTCAGCGTACATACGAATACATTAACTAGCTGACCCGCCCAACTTTGTCTGCTACTCTCAAAAGGAAGCTCTTGTTCGTACGACGATCGTATGATGTTATATAGTTATATCCTTCCTCGATAAAAGGGCTATCCAATACTAAAAGTTTTTTTCAATTCGAACCCGTAGTTACTGAGATTACCTCGAACATTGTATGTTCGAGGTTATCTCAGTAACCCCCAAACTGTACCCCTTTATAATATATACAAGGACACTGGGAAGCAAAAGCTAGATACTTGAAGGGGTTGTAGTTGCCATCATTTCTAATAGATTTTACTATGAAATAGCAACTCCCAATCTAACCATTTTCGAGATATTGGACTTTAATTTTTTATAAATATCGCTGAAATTTTGTCTAATTTTTTTTTTAGAACTTTTATCCACTATTTAATGTTTTTTTTAACTGTTTTTGTGTAGTTGATAAATTGTTTCATAATTTAAATTACTGAAATTGTGGTTAACAAACTGGGAACTTGGAAAAATATTTAACTAACACAATTGATGATTTACCTGAATCTCATTCGCGGCCTGTGGTTTCAGCATGATAGTTGCCCTGAGCATTACAGAAGAAGTGTAAAAGAATGGCTGGATTCTAATTATCGTAATAAGTGGATTGGAAGAGGTGGTCGGTTGGCTCGTCGGATACGCGTTGGCAGTATCCGTAACAAATCATAATATCAGCATATTCCTCGTTCGTATAGGTCGCAATCCTCAATAGTATCAGAAGCACAAATTAAAGCCCTCTTAGCGATAGCGATAGCAGATATGTCCAGCAGTGGACTGTTAAAGGCTGTTGATGATGATGATGATGATGATAGCGATAGTTAGTCACGAATAGAAAAAGAAACCTTCCAAAATACAAGGCATGTTTTCAACTGGATCTTTCATCTCAGTTTTTTCTATAAATTCTGATACTATTTTAGACTAATATACCTTTTTAGATAGCCGAGAGCACGTACATGTTTATTAACAAATCTGTAGTTTATGTGATTTATATTTTTTTATAATATTCGTGAAAGAATTTTTTTATTTTTTCTTACGTTAACCCTCTACTTTGGCCCAGTTTTCAATAATTGAAATTATAAAACAATTTATCACCTACACAAAAACAGTAAAAAAGCATAAAATAAAGGATATAAATTAAAAAAAAAAAATTAGGTAAAATTTAGGCGATTTTCTCTTAGAAATGATCGCAACTAAAACCCATTAAAGTATCTTAATTATTTACACTTCCTTTAAAACAATCGAAATAACAGATGGAGACAATGGCTTAGGAGTTAAAATCTCCCCTATTTTGAAAAAGTATGTAGCTTAAATAAATAAATATTATAATAACAATAACAAAGTAATCAGAACAATAATATTTATTAGAAAAAATATATGTAAAACATGGTCTTTAATATAGTTATTTTAAAGTATTAGCAGTAAGGTAATGAAGCGCTGGTTCCTCTGTATCATATAATTCTTTCAAGGCTTCCAACACAAAAGACTGAATGTAATCAACCTAAAACATAAAAATAAAGCATTATCATCTCATTTTTATTTACACTGACTAAAAACTATGAGTAAGATGAGGGTCTTCATCCAAAAATATCTTATAAAGTATAAGTCAATGGCTTAGTAAATGAACTCATCGAGATTCTGGAGGATAGCTGGACTGGCAGATAATAACTTAAGTCCTGTCAGTCAGAGTAACGAAACAGCGGTAAACACACAAGTACTCTGAGTATTTAGCGCAGATGACCCGACTAACGTACCGTACTTACTGTTTCTGTTTCGCACACTTATGTTAACAAGCTGATTGGAATGCATGTCCCACTAGAAGCCATTGTGGTGCGACCCTATTTAAAAGTTTTACGATCATTACCTGTTGCGGAGGGCAATACCCGTCCTCTGTAGATCTAGCAACTGTGATTAAAACTGGTGGGGGTAATCCCTTCAATAAAGGAACTAGAGCATTTTTCACCAATCGCTGTATTTCTTCCTTAGAGCTGATGTGATAAGGCAATCCATCTTGGTCTCGAGTACAACCTGCAGCAAATACTGCCCACCAGTCTGGCTCTTCTTTTAATCTTTCCGCTTCTGATAAAATCGCTTCACTCAACTCTGCAACCTAATTATAAGTTTCCATTGAATATTAATACGATGTATTACAGAAACTCGTGTTAGAGACTGAGATGTCTCTATGGCCTACGGATACAAGCTAGTGCCACTTTGAATAAGTACTGCTATGTGTACACTAAATCAACATTTTAAGAAAAAGTTGTGAACAAAACTAACCACAGAAACATAAAATACTTCCAGCTACCTGCAGCTTCGGTATGAACTGGTGACATATCGCTTCGCCCCTTGATAAACATAATATGAAGAGACGTAGGTACAATCACCTATATTTTTTTTAATTTTAATATCAATTATAAAAAAATGTCAGGAGTTCCACTAATGGTAGGAGAGCTATTTTGTTATGAGTTAAAGTTACAAAATATCCAGACAACTAAAAGTTATGTATTTGTCCATAATTCAATGAAGCGATTCTATTGTGCAAGCAAACGTAAGCGACTCAGAGCTGCTACTAATAATTTCATAATAGAAATTTCCAAATACATCCAAAGCTTTAGGCCCAATACATTTTTTGCATTGATCCCTGAACTTGATTAACAAAACACCTAGGTATTGTGTCAAAATAATAGATTTATAAATTTCATACCACTGACCATTATATACAGCCGCGATTTCTCCCCCTCATATTTATCTAAGTTATTATCCTGCTCAAGATGTTGAAACAACTTTTCAAGTTGCTCGAGTTGGTGTTCTCGGGATGCGACAACTTTAGCTATCGTTTCATCGTCGTCTGTGTCAGGAAGTTCAAAATCAAAAATGGGTAACAACCGATCATAAAGTTTAATATTTTCGTACAACATTAGAAAAGGATTTCCTGTACTAAAGAAATCTAAATCGATATCAAGAACATAAGGTTGACTTATATTCAGATTTTCTAAGTATCTTTGATTACTGATCTCATCTCCTGCTAGTGAGGTGTCAGAAAGTTCAGTTGAAGTAAAAATAAACTTTCTCTTATTTTTTAAATGTGCTGAATACAATGCGTCTGAAAGATAGTAAGGTTCTTTGCTGTCGACGCGAAGTTCACCCGTTGTGGGATGATCGCCTACATATATGGGCCTTGTCCCATCACAGAACTGTCTTGCCCACGGTGGTCTCAGCCATACAACTTGGCTGATATGACCTGCAGCGATTGCTGGTAAAATCCAATTTTCTATTTGTAGTAATGGCAGTACATTTCTTCCAGACCGTGCTTCCGTTCCTTTCAATTTACGATCAATAAGCATATCTGGATGAGCGTCAAGATGAAGAAGAGCTGTTCCTTCTAAGGGCAACTTTTTTCCACCGATGGCCGAGTATATAAATTGTAAGGCATCGTTGTGTTCTTCGACAACATAAATTGGAATCCTTTTAAACTGTTTTAACGGCATATTGCATTTTTCACAGTCTTTGCCTTTTTTGTTAAAATCGACGTCAGATAACTACATTTGTACTGTTGTGATTTCTTATACTATTATTATTGCATGTTGAGGCTGTAAATAAAAAAAAAGGTAAGATGTTACTTAATAGCTTTTTAAATACTGAAGTTTTTTAGAAGGCAAAGGGCATTAGTTCCCCATTTTCAAATTATTATCATTTGAAAAGCAAATGAAGGTATAAGAGGGTTCAATATATTTAATAATAATAACAGTTTAGTGGTTTAGCAAACAAAGAAACTCCCTTTCACATTTATAATATACTAGCTTTTGCCCGCGGCTCCGGCCGCGTGTATCTCGGTTATCGTGGTAAAAAGCCTTCCTTTCTAATGTGATGTATTAATTGAGCAATAAATAGTTAATTATTGCTTAATTAATACATTGACTAAGGCTACAAAATCAACTAGCGTTCTTAAATACATCAACATATCACCAGTATAGGTACTTGTATGGAAAAAAAAGAAATATGTAATTAATTTGAGTGAGCAGTCATTAGTGTGTAGGTGCGTCTAGATCCCAACAACACCACCGGCGACACCGGCGGTACCGCACATTGCCGATTATTGACCGCCAACCCGATCGCAACAGGTTTTATACAGAGATAAGAAACGCGTTATACAAGGTATAGGTAATACGTACAATTTTAAAAGTATTAATGTTATAAAGTAATAAATTGAGCTAAAAGTTTTACATATATACTCGTAATTTTGAATAATGATATGCTGTTAAGGGCAATTTTTATCTACATTAAATGCATTTGCAAAATTTAGGGGGTACTGTGGGGTACCCTTAGGAGATAGTACATATACCATCGGGGACTTTTTTGAAGACCTTTTTAAGACATACAATTCTGTCACTTTGATCTATCTCATAATGTTTGGCCAGCGTTTGCAATGTAAGCAAACAAAAACATGTTTTTTACGACTTCACATTGCGTGTCATCCGTTGCTTACAAGAATAAAAACCGACTTCATTCCGTACTATGTAAATAATATCGGAAAATATTTAGTTATATGACTGACTTTACAATAAAGAGTAATCGTTAAAACACTAAAAATTAATACATATTTATAATTACGAGTACCTATAATAAACTGCCAATAGTATGTTAATAGTGTCCCTACATTTATTTGTACTTGCGTATGCACGTATAAAGCTTGTTTCCTATTATATCACCATTAAAATCAATTTCCATGCTTTTCAAGTTATTTAGTCGGTATGAGAGCCTCTTGAAACAGGTCAAGGGTGTCGCGAAAGCTGAAGGGCTGTTCCACCTCAATTTTCGTGCCTACTGCGCATTTTCTCTCAAAGCCGTTAACGCTTTTGCGTCTTATATTTATATTTCAGTTATTTTTTGTGGTTTAAAAAATACAATTTCACCAAATTCAAATATGTATGTATTATAATCATTCTTAGTAAATGTTAATTTAGTTATAAATTAAAATTGTTTTAAATCGGATTCAGAAATAGGCTAATTATATTTTATTTATAATACAAAAGGTTAACAAAGTCACGGGCTTACTTTTAAAAGTTATCAACTATAAGTTTCGGGCTGCGGTGATTATATTTGTTAGTCATCATTTTTGAATTTGCACAAACATTTAAAAAATTGAACATTGAGGTCAGTATTTCCCTGAATCGTTAAAATTAATATCAACATTGAGTATTACAAGTCAAAGAAAAAAACATCTCTTATTAAATAATAGTAAAAAAACGAAATAACTCGCTTTTGTAACTACCCGTTTAAAAGTAGAAAATAATTTTCTTAATAAAATAAAGATTAGCTACCGAATTAAGAAAAAAACATTTTATCGTAAAAAAGTGTGGGGTGACAGATTTCAATTGTTTTTGATATTGGTAAAGTATGGTAGTCCGTGTGTCCGTGTGGTGACGGATTAAGAATACAGAGTGTCCCCACCCCTATTCATCTCATGCGTGTCGTAAGAGAAGACTTAGGGAGTAAACTGTGCAAAACAACAGCACTGCAAAGAGAAGGAAAACTTGAAACAAACCCTATACCAACCCGTCTGGTCAGCGTGGTATATTAGGCCAAAACCTCCATTGTAAGGAGAGGCCTATGTCCAGCAGTGGACTGTTAAGGGCTGTTGATGATTGATGAAAGTATGGTATATTACAATATTATATTATGTCTATCTTAAAAAGTACCCCACGCTTTTTTACGATAAAATGTTTTTTCGTAATAATTCTATTTTCTTTTCTTGTCTTCTAGTCTTTTATCTCGAAAAAAATTGACCTGTCATGTGAAAATTAAAGATTCGCAATTTGTACTGAGATATTGTGATTTCTTCTAAAAAAATATTTTAACAAAATTTCAAAAAAGTCACTTGAGTCACTTCACAAGAGAAATATTGATTTCAATGGATGTTGTATAGTTATTGGTTATGTAGTAAGTGTAAGTTACAGTGAATTGTTTTGATATCCTCCTTTTTATGAATTTCCATATCAATTTTACTTCTTTTCAGTAGTTTCCAGTACCATTCTACTGCGATTGCCAATTTCTACGCCTGGTAAAAAGAGGAAAGAAGATGGAAATCCATTTATGATAGTTTCGATTAGGTAGGATAGGATAGGTTTAATCAGAAATAAATTTAAATAGTTGTGTATTGTGAGAGAAAAATTTCAACAATATTGAAATTATTACAAATACTTTAATAAGTTTAAACGTATTGAGAGAATTTTTGAAATGAAAATTACTTAAGTTTTAAAAAGTGGACAGGCAGTTCTTTTTAGACTTTGGCGACTCGGACTTGACTCTTTGTTGTGTCTTTAATAAAAGGATGCCATTTCTGTCTGTATTCCTATCTGTAGTACTAGGGGTCTGATATGAATAGTAAGTGTTCAATTAATATTAAGAGAGTTTTCGCACACTCACCAAAGTGAATCCAACAAAAACCGAAAATCGAGTTTATACGATGCATAAGTAGTAAGAGTAGCACGTTGTTATTTTTAAGCTTACGGGCTATTTGGTTTCGCTGTCATTAACGTAGCTCGTAAAGCCATGTGTTAAATGTTTAATGTAAAAAGAAACCTTAATTATTTACTTTTTTAAGCAAGTGTAAGTTAGTTAACTTCTACGAAACAAAAAGTATTCTAATTCGCATCGCAAGCAACCAAGGACCACTGCTAATTAAAAAATATCTTGGAATCGAAAGGCCAATTGCATACAAACATTTTCCTCAACACGGGAATTCCCCTTTTGCAGCTCCGTTTACCCTTTGCGGGTATTTTTTTTATATATATTACGCTGATAAGGAATAAAAATTTACTTCCCTTCTTGTAAATATTACATTAAACATAAGAAAAAAATAGTACGTCATATTAAAAGTTCGAACGAGTACCTTAAGCCAATTTCCATCTCTATTATAATTTGTGGTTTTCTCTGTGATCATTTGCGGTTGCAATAAAAACCACAAATTATAATTACATAATAATATTTCAGACGTATTAAATAAACGCCTTAATATTACTATTACAAATTGAACAAATAAAATTATGTTTCATTACTGTGCGATAATAAGGCGCAATTCTATTCTGTAGGGTGGGTATTATTATTTGATTTGAACGGGGGTAGGGTTAGCGCGGCGGATCTCATTAAAGCGGGCCGTGAACGTTTTCCATTAGCTTCGGCAAACTTCCGCCTGGCGCGATGCGTAGCGGCGCGTTGGCTGCGACATGCGGCATAAGTCGACCTACCAGGGCACAGAGTACAAAATGTTGGACAGAAGTGGGATATACGCAAATATAAATAATAATTTAATTTGCCTAAAATGTGGTACAAAAATATAGCCACGATATACATTTCGCCAGTAATTGGCGTGCAAAATATAAGGTTGTAGTTTCTCAGACAATTAATTTAAACTAAAAATAAATACATTTCATGCCAATACCGTCTTTAATAGGTCATTTAATATAAGGTTCATTCTTATTAATGTGTCAAAATCTTAAAATTTTCCATTATGAAATATTAACAAACATTAAAAAGTCAAGCGTAAAATTACTGTCCTTGAATAGGTAGCGGTATTTAAATCTACGAAGGTGCCAGCTACCAGTCATTCTGTATGATTGGCTTACTCTTGGTGCGGGTGCTGCACGGTGCGGAGGAGGGGTGTTGTGACGGCTCGGGCCCGGGGTCGATATTGAGCGTCACTGACGTCACTACGCTACTACGCCCGCCCAAACATACCCCCGCGAGCGCTCACTTCTCCCTTGTGACCTATTGCGTCGTAACGCCCACCTGGGTCAAGGTGTAGAAGCCGCTACGGACCCGCCCGGCTACTAAAATACCACATATGGTACAAATTTAAATAAAGGCAAACAAATCTTTTGAATTTCTAAAGGACACGGACATGTTTGAAATCTATATATGGGCCAAGTGAATAAATATAACACTTGTTATAATCAGCTGATAATACGAGTAAAGGCAAGTGAAATAGAGTTAAGCGATTAAAATTCATTCATGATTTCACACTATATTTTCATGCTGTTATGAATATTGCTGTCAGGCAATGTGATGGTTAATGTACGTTATTCTGGACGCTAGAACCATAGACATGAAAGACCATGATAATTTAATAACAGCCACAGAGCCCATTGTATTCCAATTAAAAAATAAGCGTTAATAAAAACTAAAGTGTTGAGAAAAATTATCTCGAGTCGAACTCGAATCCACTGAACAGCTCCAAGGACTCGAGTCTTAAAGGTACGAACTTTGTGGTTTAGGGTCTTAAAGGCTCGAGAGCCCTAAAGAGAAGGCTAGAGTCGTAGCTCGAGCTTCGTTTGTTTAGCAATCTACCTTATTGGTGTAAATCGTGAGTGTATTTCTCAGATTTGCCTAAATTTATTGCAGTTGTACTTTTACGTACCTCTTCTGAAAATCTGTGTACCTATGCCCGTATAATGATATTTTAAAAATTAGTTACACCCGCCAACCTGAT